TATTTGACTTAGGATAAACTTTAAAAATTACTATTACGACTTAAAGTCCCAAGTAAAGTGAAAAATTTCTTTTAAAGACTATTTAACAATGTTGTGCCTTCTTATGAAAACCTATAGAAGAGGCATCATAATTCAAACCCTCTATATCGCTGCTGTCATACCTCCTTGAAGACTTATGAACACTTGCTCCTTCTATGTGAATGAGCTAATAAAATTTGGTTTGCTAACTCTTTAGGTTTCCATTTCCAAAGTTTACATGTTGATAGATTTGACAAATGGTTTCTTGCCTTCACCTTTTCACCACTTGCTAATGATTGGCATTTAGCTTTTATAGTTATAATATGTTGGCAAATCTGAAAAAGCATGTGTGTGTGTGTGTGATAATGCTCAATTTCGCCCTCTCAAAATGACCAAACATGCTAAAGCAGCTTTATTAAAATTCTGGTCTATTAATGGCTGGCTTAATGCCAATATGTATGATCTGTAAAATTTAGGTGAGACTAGTAAGGTTACCCTTACTAATCCTCTCCAATTTCTAAATATTAACATAATTATCAAATTATACAAATGGGAGCCTAAGATTTTCACAATTTAAAATACTTTTATACACTTTCAGTATTCTTAAATTAGAGTTAAAACATATGCGGAAGCTAGGAATCAAAGGAAGAATCAAAATATTTGTATATAAGCTTCAAAATAGTGAAATGTGTAAAAAGTAGCACATGCGCCACGGCTTGCTGTAGGTGCACTATAGCATGCATATCTCTATGCCATGTGCTGCTACGCGTTGTATGAATTTGACAATAAATTTTGCTGTCATATGATAGCACCTGGGACAAACTTTCAACATATCTTATTTCTCTATCCGATGTCCAATTGAGGTTATTTAGGTGTCTACAGAGAGTTTTTTCTTAACTCTAGCTAATGGCATAAGTTCCACAATCAACTCATTTTTCTATCAAAAGTTGAACACCCTTTTCAAAATTCACTCCTTTTCTATATAAACTGATAATTAAGGTGCTTAAACCATAATATAAGTGCTAAAAGCTTATACCAACTCTCAAACCATACTCAATGGACTATTTAGAACTCATGCAACACACTACAGTCAATCAAATACACATACTAAATAATTTTATCACTCAACCCCTTAATTCACATAAACAGAAAAAGGGAGATTAACTTGCATAAAATCATCGATGTTCATCCAAAGCAACCCAAATGTACTTTATCCTACTTGCACCAGTATTTCAGCTTTATTTAAATTTTATAATCACATCTCGCTAGCTTAGGGCATGAAATACACAAAACACTTTCAATTATAATGCAAGTAGATAAAATAATGGAATAAAACTCTAGTTGACAATTAATAATACTTAATACACATAAGCAAAACAAGGAGGTCAACAAGTAGGATTTACTTAGAATCATTTGCCTCCATTGCTTTTGTCGATCCTTATCTAATGAGCTAGGCCTTGAAATATTAAAGAATAAGATGTCAATACAACCACTTAGTAATTAAGGTCAACCTTGCTTATACAATTGCACATTAATTAATCATGGATGAAATGGCAAAAATTTAGTTATCACATATACATATAGCAAGTATAGCATTGGCCACAACAATAACAACTATATGACCGAGCATGCAATATATATCATCAGATATATCACAATTACATACACTTGTGGTTATAAAAAGAATAATTATGCGCCTCTAAAACAAGTCAAACCACAATAATAACAACCATATGATTGGAATTAAATACATGATCAATACCAACCTTATACCCTTTTGTTGCCTTCAATATGAAACCAATGACTATTAGTGGCTACATCCGTAATTCAAACTAATCTAACATTCCACTTATAAGGAGCTACAGGGCTAGGGTTAATTCACTTTCTTTTGTACAGCAGTTTTTCCCAATACTAACAACCATGGGGTATCATACCCTTAATCTAGCTTCCTCATAAACCGGTATAGACTAGTTAGGTTTAAGTCCCTCGAAGAACAGGTGAAACGACCTCGAAGCAATCTTGAGATAATGCCTATCTCCCAATTCTAACTGTTGGCACCAAGGCAAGCTTTCGATTCTAATAGTAAGCCACCAATACCACATGAAGTTACCAACTTACTCCTCTTCCTAAGTGAAAATCTCACCAATGATCGTACTTATATAAATAATAATAAGTAGTATGCCATTAAACACATATTAACCACATCGTCTCTCACACACATACTTCTCCTTCTCCACATAAATTCACATACCAAGAATCATATATTTATCATTTTCATCATGAATTGTTCTCGGATCATCATCCTTAGTCACATATTCATAAACATGCATATTACTCTCCATAAATCAAGACAATACCATACATATAACTCATTATTTGCCAAAATTTGTATCAATGGGTTTACAAACAACAAACAAGTTCTAAATCATCACATTCAATAAATAACTAATTAATAAATAATTATAGAGACTAGATTTTTTTTTTCATTTACTTCAAACCTTTGAGAGGTCAAAAGTTTACCCCTCAAAATACTAACTTTTAAAGCTTTTTATCAAGCTTGAATGGTGCAAATTGATTAATCTACAATTACATCACAAGGATATTTATTAATATCCTTTTATGAGAAATTTCTAACATTCTGCTCCATATTCTTCCTTTTATCAAAGTCATAAACTCACTTTCAATTATGCCAATGTGTTTACTAGGTCCTAACAACTCACATTATTATTAATGAACCATTAACCCACTATTAATGGTCATCAAACACTTCTTACAACTTTATTTACTGTCATTTTTAGGTGTTAATGATCCCCAACCACCAACAACTCATAAAATCATAAATATGGGGTTTACATACTCTAAACAACTACTATTATATTTATTTTAGCTAATGGGTTTAGACCCATATCTCACAGGGATCGAAAGTTACTCTTCCAACTTAAAACCTAACTTTAACTTTCATGAAAATGGAAGGAAGGGAGAGGGAGAAGCATAATGTACTTACCTTGAGTGTTGTGAAGCTTTAAAATATCTTCAACGATTCCTAAATTCATGCCCCTAATAAAGGTAATGGCGTGTTCTCATTTTCTCCTTTTCCCTCTCTTTGATTTTTCAAATGGTGCATGACTGGTTTATGTAGAAATTTGCACAAAGAGGCCCATCCTTTGTTGGTTGCCTTTGTGCACCATCACGAATGTTCCTCATGTCACGATATGTGGCAGAGGACACTTTTTCAATTCTTTCTCACCTTTTGATGCCTGTATAGTTTGACTTTATTTTAAACCCATGTTTAGGGTAGAGATTACAGTTAATTATACAAATTAGACCTCTTTAGCCACACACCGCATCAATAAATTTAATTACTCTCATTAATCTTAGTTAATCAGGTTTAAATTTTTAGGATGTTACATGATTATAGTAATTCCACATGTCAACTTCAGAAGGAAATTTGAAGAGCCCCCGATATTGGTTATTTAAAATGTAATTTTGATGCTTCCTTTATTTTTGAGTCTAACTTTATTGGCATTAGATTCCTCTTTAAAGACTACTCTGGTAATTTTGTTGTCGTTGCGGGGGGCAAGATTTAGTACCACTCCACCTTTCATGAGCGAAGCTCTTGCGCTTTTTCACACCCTTTATTTCACTTTGGATAGGGGTTTTGAGAAGATTTTCTCCAAATCAAATTGCAAGATGTTAGTTGAGTCAATCAATTTTGGTTGTGACTGTCCTGACTAGACTTACTTCATGCTCATCACCAATATCCAAGGCCTTTTTTAGGACAATAATTATTGGTCCCTCCTTTGGACTTCCAAGACTGCTAATTTAACTAGTGATTGGGTAGCTAAATTTTGTTAAAAGGGGTGAGCTCTTATGTGTGAGACTCCGACCCCCTCCCTCTTCAGCTAATCTACTTGCGTATGATGTTCTTCATTTTTTTGATGTAATGACCTGGCTTATCAATGAATTTCTCTTTTGGCCAAAAAAAAAAAAACAAAGAAAGAACTATGGTTGAAATCTTATGATAATTAAAACATTTCAATTCCATTGCAATTATTAATATTTTGCAGTTATGCCAATACTTTATTAAATTTGACTAACACGAGCTAGATTGAGCTAAAATAATTCGACACTCTTCGAGCAATGTTCTTATTAAAAGCCTTATGAATAAAAAAATAAGTCAGAAGAGTTACTACATTTTATCAATGCAAGCAATTATATGCTATGTTGATATTTCAACTAGATACATAACAAAATAAATAAGGAAAAATGACAATTAAGAATTTTATAAAAATATCAATGATAATTATAGAACTGACATTATTGAAATTTCAAATAACAACCCACGATCTTTACTTACAATAAATCATTTTTTATTGATTGATTTGAAATTCACAATGAACTTTGATAAATTTTTAACTAATACAATAAACATTTTCAACTATCTTTTCTTAATTTTCCAAGCGATATCAAAAAATTACAGACAATTGGCTTGTGATTCACAATTAATTTTTGCAAATTCTCAACTAACATTTCAAATAATCCTAAATGTATGTAGTAGATTTTTCAAGTGATTATCCATACATTGAAAACAAAAATTTATGAGTAATTAGCTTGTGATTCACAATTAACTTTAATATATTTTCAACTAATGTTATAAATAATTTTAAATATATTTTCTTAAATTTTCAAGTGATTTATCCTTATATTGATATAAAAAAATCAAAATTTTTAACTAACTTTTATAAATTTTTAATTAATATTATAAATAGTCCCAAACATAGTTAGTAGATTTTTTAATTGAGTATTTATTTTTTTTTAATTATAAGTAAAGTTGATAATATTTTAGTGAAATTTTAATAATTTAAGGTATGCAATTGTGATTAATTTTTTTCAGGATCTCCAGCTGTCATTTCCCCAGTAAAAATTTTCGTAACCCGCCAAAATTTCCTCAACGGCGCTTTCCTCAAAACAAATGTTCGGCGGCTCCCTCCACAGCGAAATCACTCTCCCTCCACAGCGATTACTTTATTGTTTTGTTTTTTTCCCCTTTCAAAACCTTTACATTTAAATATGCATTTAAACAATTCATAATTAGTGATTATTAGTTTAAATGATGTTCTTGCTTGCTATGTTTGTGAATTGTGATAGAGGCAAAGAGCGATTCCATGTTTAGTTGAACACCCAGTTACAGAACTTGCCAGCTCTTACTTTCCAATTCCGAGTGATATTTCTTTGGTAAACGAAATTGTTGGTGTTTTACTGGATTTCGCTCTTTGTTCTCTCTAATTGGTTCTCATATCGAAATCAACACTGGTATATCTGAGGTTTTTATGTTCATTTTCTGTGTTTTGCAAGAGCAAAAAAGGCATTCGGTTTTTGTATCACTGCCTGGTTGTTGTTTCATTGTTCAAATTCGAAGGTTTTTGTGTTGAAATTCTGGGGATTTGTGCCGCTGTTGGGGCACGGAGATTGGTGCTGAATTGGTTAAATGCTGGACAGATTGTTGCTCGCTTTGGAGGTTTGTTCCTGACTTGCTGGACTTTTCGGCGTAAAGAGTTACACAGTACACTTCACGGTATCAGATAAACATAGGATGATAGTTAAGCGGGCTGTGAAAATTGCAATGCCGAACCTGAAGCGATGCCAATTAGAGAACCTCGATCCCGAAGACAGTGCGCGCGCTGCAAATCCCAAGAAACGGAGGGCAGATGGGTTTTTATCTCCTGCTATGCCCGCCGAGGATGATTATTTGAGTGGCGGTTCTGGATTTCGGTGCAGTAAAGAATCGCACTGCGGTGGTGACTTACAGTCAGATACCACAACGTCGAATGCTAAAACAGGACTAAAACCGGGCTCAAAAATGGTTCGGCCTCCATTGTTGCAGTCATCGCGAGGCCGCCACCAGATGCTTCCGTCGAGGTTCAGGGATTTGGTTCTCGGTACGTGGAAGAATAAAAGAATCCAAGTGGAGAACACATGTTCCAGCTTTAAAGAAGATATTATGTCAGGAGAAGATGAGTCGAAGTTCAGTGGAATGGAATTTGCAAAACAGGGATATAGTGTTAACTGTAATCTCAAAAATTCAATGTGTTGTTCATACACTGAAATGGAGAAGGACAGAGTCTCGGGCGTCTTAAATTCTAATGATTCCGATGCCGCGGACACGGAGCATGCGAATTCCTTGAGTACCGTGAGAGCGGCAGTTAATAAGAGTTGTTCATCGTCAGTTAAAGTTCAGAGTGATGCGTCGGGACTTAATTCTGAAGGCGTTGACCCTAAGGCTAATGGGAAAGCTGAAAAGAGGGTCGACATTTACAGACTAGATGATTTTGCTTGCGGTGATATAGTTTGGGCAAAATGCGGGAAGAGGTATCCGGCTTGGCCTGCGATTGTGATTGATCCCATCTTGCAAGCTCCCAAGTCGGTACTGAACTGTTGTGTTCCTGGTGCAATTTGCGTAATGTTTTTTGGGTACTCAAAAAATGGAAAGCAAAGGGTAAACTTCTCTCTACACTTATGGCCTTAACATTTGAGTTTTAAAATCATCCTCAGTTGAAATCTAAAGTAATAATGATTGGCAGGACTATGCATGGGCGAGACAGGGAATGGTATTCCCCTTCTTGGAATTCATGGAGAGGTTTGTATCTAATCAATGATCCGATATAAGTTGATAGTTTCTTGCATGAATATTCAACATTTGCTCATTAAAATTTATCTTTATTTAGATTCCAAGGGCAGACCCGGCTGTACAAGAGCAAATTGAGTGACTTTCGAATGGCATTAGAGGAGGCTCTGTTGGCAGAAGATGGTATTCTGGACTCACATTTGGGAGCAGAGGTTATTACTAAAAGCAATGTTGAAGCTCAGCACAGTGGATATACAGAGGATACGGGTCCATGTGATGATCAGGAGGAATACTGCCTGGACCAGGTGAGCTCAACTTCTTTGATTGACCTTTACTAGATGATGGAAACCTTAATATGCTGCCTTTTGCATTTGCTGTGTCGTATATATGAGAGGCTTCTGCGGCCATAGTATCTTCTTTAAAGGAAGGGGGCAAAATGAGATATGCAAAAGAAGACTGAAAGGTGTAAATTCTGTCATATGAATGATCGACTGTCAATCCCCCAAACCCCACCCACCCCCACCCCCCACCAAAAAAAAAAAAAATGATTAGCGTATATCTAGTGTCTTAATTTGCTTCCCTCTTAAAAGTAAGTACTGCTTCGTATAGTTAAAAAATAAATTAATTTGCCTTGTATTGGTTTTTGGCACTATAGTTGTGACAGTATACTACTGGTTTAGTTTCGTGACTTTTGTTTTATTTTCTGTTTGAATCTCGAGCAAATAAAATTACAGTTCTTTCAGATAATTGATGAATTTATGAACATGGGAGATGAAAGTGGTCCGTAGCATATAGACCATGGCCAAATAGACGCTGGTGAAAATAAAGTAGGGAAATATAATGCTAACTAATTCAGATAAAATAGTGCCAGAATCTAAAAATCACTATAACTCTAATAACCCAAACAGAGAATCTCCAATACATGACAAATAATAATCAAGAGTTACCTCCTACATAGACCCTAGGTATATTTATAAAGTGAAAATACATGACCAAACCCTAACTGAACTAGTAGACTCCTAAACACATGACTAAAAGCATGCTATAACTGCAGTCAACTGCCAAAATGTGCTTCACAGGTAACTCCCTCACTCCCTAACTTCTTTTCTCACTATCTTACCCACCACTTGCCCCTGCCCTAGGTCTTTTGTTTCTTAAATAGAGCTGTCCGTGCAGATCTCTATCATGGTCCTTGTGTTTTCATTTGTTAATTTATATGTTTCTTTACCCATATTTCTAGTCTAGAAAGCAGATTTATATAATAGTTGACACTGGAAGTATAGAATTGGGTGTCTTAGAATCTGCTTATTTGTAGATTCTTATCCATTGAATAAATCGTGCAGGAAGCAAGACTTTGTGCTGGCTGTGGTTTGATGTTACCATGTAAAACCGTGAAGAAGATTAAGGATTCTAGCGGTCAACTTTATTGTAGACATTGCTCAAAGGTTCTGTTCAATGGCTTATCTTATCTTGGCTATTTTTTATTTGTTCTCTTGGCTAATCTCGGAGAATTGCCATTCCTGTTTATGAACTTTGCATAAGAAATATCTGGTTAAGGAGCATTTACCAAGTGGTCAATGTGTTAATTACTTTTAATGTTTCCAAAATGGAAATTCTTACAGTTTTGGGATCGTGTTTTTTCTTAATTAATTGGTAGATGGGTTTAATTTTTAAATTGTTTGGTCCTGTTTTTACAGTTGCAAAAATCTAAACAATATTGTGGCATCTGCAAGAAGATTTGGCACCATTCAGATGGTGGGAATTGGGTAAGCTTGCTCATTTGATTTCTTATTTATTTTTTTAATTTTAACAAAACAATCAAAATTTTAAATATTGTGGGCCTAACTCTGGAAATTAGGTATGTTGTGATGGTTGCAATGTTTGGGTGCATGCAGAATGTGATAAAATCTCCAGCAAACTTTTAAAGGTATCGTGGTTTCATCTTTACATATATCTTTTGTCATATTTGATTTCCCTGGTTTGCAAACAGTGGAAGATCAAGGAGTGGTTTATGGTTGCAGGATCTAGAGCTCATGGATTACTATTGCCCAGATTGCAAAACTAAAGTCAACTGTAAATTGGCAGAATCACGTTCCTCCAATTCGGAAATCAAGTAAGCAGTAATTATCTCCTGATTCATTTAGGTGTGATCATAATTTTGATCTTATCTTAATCCTGAGGATGGCAGTCTTTTGATCTGGTGACATTTTCTTGGGACAGTTCAATAGAAAAAAACCAAGAACGTACGATACCTGAGGAGGTATTGGTGGTGTGCAATGGCATGGAAGGAATTTACATTTCAAGTCTTCATTTGTAAGCCTTAAATTTTTTGTTATTGAGTTTAATCAGATCAAAATCTTTTTGGCTTACATTCTTTAGTGGAAGGAAAAATTGTTATAATATCTTTGTGTGTTCCTTCATATATTTGAAGTGCTCTCTGTTCCCTTTCTTTTTTATGAATTGCCTTAGGTTGTTTCTATGACTGCATTTTTTATTTCCATTAAATAATTCACATGCTTTTACTTTGTTGTGATTTTTTAATGAAATGATATATTAGCTGTTATCTAATATCTTATTGAGAAAGAACCTACCTTTGTCTAGATCTATGCATCAATCTGACTGGGTTCTTTATTTTTTAATTATACAATTTTTACTCTGAGAATCAATGGAAGAACCTTAAGGCAGTTATGGTACCTCTTTCCAGAAGAATTTCAATGAACTGTTTTTTCCCTTGCAGAGTTATGTGCAAGTGTGGTGCTTGTGGGTCAGGGAAGCAGACACTGAGTGAATGGGAGCGGCATACTGGTTGCAGAGCCAAAAAATGGAAATTCAGCGTGAAAGTAAAAGGCACAATGCTACCCCTAGAAAAATGGGTTTGTTTCAGTTCTTGCAATATGAGTGAAATAGCAATTTTTCTTCTGGCTTGTTTGCCGGTCTTTTGGTATGTGTTTGTGTCCAGTCATGGCATTAGCGATGAGAATTATCACTTGCATTTATATAATAATGCCCCCATTACTTTTACTTCCGATCACTACCCATTGTGAGTATGAAAAGGATACTCACATTTAATTATTTATATTTTTCCTTTTTTCATTTTTGTTATTATTGTGTGCTTCTTTCTCATTTTTTGAGTTACCATTAATGCTTCAGATTACCGAGCACAATTCCCAAGCGGGAGTTTCCCTACAGTTGAATCAGCTGCAAGTACTTGCCTTTTCACAAGGTAAATATGTATTCCATCTAAACTTCCACTCAATGAAGACTCCTTATCTTTGAGGTGAACAGTATGTGGCAAACTAAGCCGCTTTCTTTCTCTTGAATATATCCTTTTGAGGTGGAAACTTATTATTCATATTATTTTCTTGTCACAGAGAAGTACGAGCCAGTTTATGCAAAATGGACTACAGAAAGGTGTGCCATTTGTAGATGGGTTGAAGATTGGGATGATAACAAGATTATTATCTGTAACAGGTGTTACTATTTTTGTTGTTGAATTTGATCTCGGTATTTAGTTATGTTAAAAATTTGTTTTGACCTCAGGGCTTCAAAGGAAGCAACGTTGATCCCTATTTGACTATTTGTGGAATTTTTCGTTGTGCAGGTGCCAAATTGCAGTGCACCAAGAATGCTATGGGGTGAAGAGCGTTAAGGATTTTACTTCTTGGGTTTGCAGAGTATGTGAAACTCCTGATGTTGAGAGAGAGTGTTGCCTCTGTCCAGTAAAAGGCATGTTATCTAACTCATGATTGATCTGACTTGTTTATTTTGTTTCCTATGCACACTATGCTGTTGAGTTCTTTTTGAGATCTGAGTGGCGAATCTAGCATTATAATTCTCCACTGAGAAAGGGACGGACTTGGTTTTTTTTTGGCACATCAAGTACTAGCATTCTTCGTATCGTTAAAAAAGCTTGCTTTATTTTGGTGGATTTCAAACTCTCACCATCTTTCCATTCTATGCCTCCAACCGCTTCGTTGGTTTTCAAGTAATTTAGTAGAATCCTTTTATAAGTTTCATTTAAATGTAGTTATGATTGCATATAATTTGGTACATTGTGCACTCTGCTTGTGACTTTTCCCTCTTATCATATTGCCAGTTTTTGTTGCCTGGCGCAAATTTGCTTATCATGTGGAAATTTTCATTGTAGGCGGTGCTCTGAAGCCAACTGATGTTGAAATGCTGTGGGTTCACATAACATGTGCTTGGTTCCGGCCCGAAGTTATTTTCCGAAACCATGAGACAATGGAACCTGCCACTGGAATACTTAAAATTCCTCCAAATTCATTTTCAAAGGTACAGCATTGGGCAGAAAGATTGTCTTGACGTTGACTTATTAATTGGTTTTCTTTACAATATTTTCTCTAGCAACACCCCTAGAACTGGATTATTCAGTCTTTCCTCTTTGATTTTGAAAGAACTCTTCTTTGTTGTGGGGTTTCTTTGTCTTCCCATATATATTTAGATGCTCTGTTTATATTGACTGCAGATTTGCATTATCTGTAAACAAAGCCATGGATCGTGCTTAAGTTGCTGCAAATGTGCTACTTATTTTCATGTGATGTGTGCGGCAAGAGCTGGATATGGCATGGAAGTAAGTTTGGTAGTGTTTTTTTTAATATCTTTATTTTTTAATGCAGTTCCTTTTCTTTTCAGTAGTTCGCTGTTTTTCTTTTCGGAGGAAGGGGCATCATATATGTTGCCATTCCTAACCAAATAGTTCTGACAGTTAGAACTAAACCAGAGCAGGATTACATTTTAATATTTGTTTGCACTTACAGCTGCATTCCATGGAGAAGAATGGGAGTCAGATCACAACGAAGCTAATATATTGTGCAGTTCATAGGTTTGAGCTCTAATCACCTGATTGTATCTAGTGATATTTTTGGCTTGAGTTTTGAAACCAATGTAGCTTATATATTAATTTCATTGCAGGATCCCAAAACTAGATTCAGTACTGGTTGTGCATACACCCCTAGGGGTTTTCTCTCCCAGAACTGAACTTCAAAATCATAAGGGGTGCTTAAGGGGATCGAGGCTAGTTTCACCAAAGAATATAGAACTTTTTGAAGAGTCTTCAACCTCCAAGACTAACAAGTTTGAGCCACCCTCTGCTGCTAGATGTCGTGTTTACAGAAGGCCTCTTAATAAGGTTGAGTTACTTGTGTTTTTTTAGTTGCACGTGAACATGAAATGCTATTGCTTCGTTTTCACTAAATTTTATTTTACAATTGGTCTCCCTTAATACTTTTTAATATTTCCAATTTGCCAGAAAGTTGATCTGCCAGTAATTCACTTACTGAGTGGACCAAGACATCATTCTTTAGGCACAATAACTCATTTGAACAGTTATAAGGTGATTTTCGTGTGTCAGGGTTCGCTTTGACACTATATCAGACCTATTTCTTTTGAAATAACAAATCTAGTTTTGTTGATTTGTGGTTGTATTACTATGCGAATAATAAAATCTCTTTCCTTGTTTTACTATAGGATGTTGAACGTTCTGAAGAATTTATTTCACTCAAGAAACGCCTTTATCATTTGCAGGTAAGATATGCTAAATTTTCTGGTTGATAAAATATATAACAACTTTTATCATCTAATCTATAATTTTAAGTCATTTCTTATTAACATTTTCTTGTTTTATTTTAATGTTGTGTTTCAGAAAACTGTAAAGTATCAAGTTTGCTTTGGAAAATCTGGCATACATGGATGGGGCCTCTTTGCTCATCGAGATATAGAAGAAGGGGAGATGGTTAGTTACTATGCTGAGATTGTCACCAAATAAGTGTAAGATTATTACATGCTTGTAGATTCTTTTGAGGACATTATGCTTATGTTGGTTATGTCTGTCTGCAGGTAGCTGAGTATTGTGGTGAGCAGGTAAGACGGAGCATTGCTGATTTAAGGGAAGCAAGGTACCGGTCAGAAGGCAAAGATTGTTACGTAAGCCTCTTGTTTTAAATTACTTTTGATACTATGTTCTGTACTGCCACCTTGCATCTTTACACATCATATAGTGAAATGTATTTTGAAGTCGAGCTATAGTTCCATTTGTGATCTTTTATCTTTTTATGCAGCTGTTCAAGATCAGCGAGGAAGTGGTAATTGATGCAACAGACAAGGGCAACATAACACGCTTGATTAACCATTCTGTAAGTTGTTACTGGATTCTGCAATGCTTTTACATATCCCTTTTCTTAGTCTTTGTTTTCTGTTTCTATTTATTTCCAAGACAATACCCATCATGTTTCTCTACATTTTAAAGGAGAATTTTGTGTTGATTTGAGAGCAGCCGAGTCTCCTAATCTGAATCTAGCTTGCATTAGGCTGTGGCTGTTAGCTAAATCCGATATTACTCAAAATCTATTTGGCTTCCTTATCGTCGTGTTCCCCCACTTCCCTTGTGATGTCAAAAGAAAGGAGAAAATTATTTTAAAAAAGAAAAAGGGAAAGGCTATGGTCAAATATAGGTCGTTGGAATAGTGATTTAGAGACCTTGCGCTTAAAGGAGTTGCACATCTCTTCTAGTTGTTGGATAAGGTCCTAATGTTTACTCTGACTTGCTTTAGTGCATGCCGAACTGCTATGCGAGGATTATAAGTTTGGATGATGAGGAGAGCCGAATTGTTCTTATTGCCAAGACCAATATCTCTGCTGGCGAAGAACTAACGTACGGTTTGTTCTGTTGCATATCTTTGTATATAATTCTATAATAAGCTCTACTTTCTGGGGCTGAGCTTTCCCCCCATTAAATACATCTCAACCTCATTCCAATATTATATTTTATAAGATGCGAATCTCAATGCATTTCATGTTAGAATGGCTGGATCTTGAGAGGTAGAGCTTCCCATGGAATTATTTCTCCCTTTTCTTGTGCTTTGCACATGAAAGCAGTTTTAGTGTGACAGAAACTTGCAGATTTCTGCAAGCAGAGGGGTTTTCTTGTTTGCACATGAAAATTTTGATTTGAATTTGATTAGGAATAACTTTTCATCTCAAATTTGCAACAGGTATGATTACTTGTTCGATCCGGATGAGCTTTATGAACTGAAAGTTCCCTGTCATTGCAATGCTCCAAATTGTAGAAAATTTATGAATTAGAATTACCACCCCCCGCCCTAAAAAATAAAAATAAAAATCTTAAAGGAGCAAATTGCCCCTATCTAACGATTCAATTGATTTTGTAATATTTTTTTATTTTAAATTTGTATACAGGTTCAATGTAATTCTAATTTGTATATTATACGGTTATAATAAGAAAACTCCCGTCCAAGAGGCGTTTTGTTGCCAATTTCATTGTTCTAACCTTCGCAGTGTGTAGTGGAGGTGAATATTTCACATTTTTATATTTGACATCTATTATAAAAAATATTGAAGTTTTTTGGATACAAATGAAAATTTGATTCAACTTTTTTGAAGTTTTGGAATGCACTTTGCTTGATTGTATGAAAAAAAGCAAACGAGGACATTCTTAAGCAATTGCAAGATAAAAATTGGGTTACACATTCTAAAACAATACATATCATGTTAACTTATAATATACCATTTCTGTAACTTTATTATTTAAATTTTGCTGTTTATGCATTTATGCGGATTTTTTGTTTTTTTGATTGGTAGATTTTCCGTCAATTTTTGAAAATTTGATTTTATCAGTGAGTCAGATACAATTTTCTTTTCCAGAATTTATTTTACCTTTTATTTAAATTTTCCCACTTCTGTATTAGATTTTTAATTTTTTTTTTGCCAAAAATATTTTGAATTTGAACTATTTGTACATAAAATAAAATAAGAATTATTATATTATTATATATTCAATGACACTTTTTTAAAAACATGTATTCTCTTGAAAAATATAAGGTATTTTTAATTGAATTTACCTCTCAATAAAGTAATTACTTATTTTTTAACTAATTTTATTTTTTTATTTATTTCTATGAAATATTTTATAACAAATATAAAGTCATTAATTAATAAAAATATTTTAAAAAAAAGAGTAATAATTATATTTTAAAAGATTAAAAATATTTTATATTTTTAAATATTTAACTTTTTAAAAAATATTTTATATTTTTAAACAGAAAAGTATAAAACTTCAGCTTTATCATATTTCTCTATTAATATTTCCCCGTCACCAATGAAAAACACCCCCCCTTTTTTTTAATTTTTTGGTTATCAGAGAGCAGTTATTTTATTTGAATCGGAGCTTTTGGCGCGCCTATATAACGACCCTCACAGAACACCTTGCGCTTCAGACCGGCTTCCGAAGTGGTTCATACTTTCTTTGCGTTAGCTTCTGAGCTCAGACGGAGTTGTAAAAAATCTTATCTCAGGCAACTCAGGCATGGGAAAGCGCCTCCAAAATGGTGCTGCGTCTGACGGAAATGGAACCAGAAAAGCGCTTGCGGAGGAGCAACTCCATTTGTTCTTGCAACTCTCCTCGTCCTCCCTTTCTCTCTCCACATTCCAATTTCAACTGGTTTTCTTTCTCTTTCTCTCTCACCAGAAAAAAAAAAAATAATTTCGCTTCCACGAATTACAGTGTTCTGTTTCGCTTTGAACTTCAACGTGATCGTAAACTTGTTCGTTTTTCCTCTGTAACGGATCAAAGTTCAAGTTCAATCTGATTCTCTCGTTCGAAATGAAGTTTACTTCTGCTGCTTATAAATTTTGAATTAAGCTTCAAGTTCCGGATGTTTTATTAATTAATGCATGGAAACGGTGCTTCCTGTGTGACTCTTGCTAAGTAGGAAAACTTCTACGCTTGAATCTTTCGCTATAGATCTTCTTTTTGAATTTTCAAAATGCAATTGAACATAGCATCAACATTTTCCGCTTATCCATGGACTTCAAGCCGTAGTTGCTAGGTTTAGAGTCGATTTGATCCTGAAAACAATTTCACACCGATCTGCAGAGCAAGCTGAATTAATAAGGGAAACTTTAATAAAAAGCTGTTTTAGGAGCCAATATATGTTTTATTTTCAAACTAATTTTATTCTGAACGGGTAGATTGATTGCGGAGCACATTAAAAACTGTGTGTGTGTGTGTGAAACTTTGCGAGCTATTTCTGTCAGACCTACTATTTAAACTTTTGAACAGCAACATAGCTTAATTCAGTTTCGGTTTCAACTTCTTTCGTAATCAACAAATTCTGTTTGATTGCCGGAGAAAATGAAAAGAGATGCTCTATTATTTATTTACTGAATTTGGATGGAAAATGTTAATGATGCATTGATGCTCTTTATGAATTCGTTGCGTCAAAGGACAATGGCATCATCTGTGTTTCCCAACATATCTATCTTGGAATATATGAAGCCACGTATATTATTTTAATCTCAACACTAAATATTTCTCAATGCTAAATGAGAAGGTACGAAGAGGACATATGGTCAGAGATTGCCAAGTTTCTGGATGGGAAATCTTTGGTGATGCTGGCAGCCGCAAACCGATGGTTCCGCCGAGTTATTATGGACGACACAATCTGGATGTTTGTGAGCCTGCGTGATCTTCAGGTTCAACCTTCTCCTTCACGAGTGGCGTTCAGGTGGAACAAACTATACACTTCAGCCTTTGGTAAGGCTCAATCCTTGAAATTTTTCCCCCTCGTCGAATTAAGATTGGTAAAGGATGCAATGCATCGCCTCGTCCAATTAGTTACAATTGTATAATGAATTTGCAGATGGGAGCCACTCTTTTATGTTCCGCCAGCAGGAGAAACATATTGGTGAGTTGAAAACTAGAAATTTACCTTCGTTCTTTGGACGTAAACGCTAACCCCTAACCTTGGTTCTAGCACTAACTCCTGCCCTTGTTACTATTTTTTGTATTATAGTGTGGTTTTCTTCTCTGATTCGTTGAACTTTGAAGTATTACATCATAGAATTTATCTAAGCACTGATTCGTTCTTGTTGCCCATATTGTCGAATTAAACCATGATTTGCTAATGATGTCACAATATGGGCAACTTCGCGTTACATTTGAGGGATATTATATATGTACATTGGCTTTTCATGTGTACTATTACTATCAGATTGGATGCGTATTGGCGCCTTCTCCCTTGACTCTTCAATGGCCCTCCTAGCTGAGAGACTAACCTTTCCGAGGAAGATCAGAAAACAAGAAACGATGGAAAATATGTTGCAGTCTCACGGTTGTTGCATGTTAGACAATGTTAAAAGTGGGATCTGGATTGCTGGTAATTCCCAAGTTAAATACCTCGGCATTATCTTTTTAAAAGGGAATTAAGTCGTTGTCTATTTGTTGATATGGCTAATTTTTCAGACCTGCAGCTTGTACGATGCCCGGTTTGTGATCTCAACACATGCGACGGTAGGGGTCGAATTACTTTTAGACTGCATTCGTTTCTGGATATCGTAATTAATTAGTATTTAACTTTTACGTTTTGATTAAAGGCCAAATTACCTTTATAACGTGTTTGCTCATTAACTGCCACATGTAAAAAAGAGTGGCAAACGATGAGTTATTTCATACAGGGCTTTCCCAATACAATGGGGCTAACTGACTTCATTTGACAGTTTTCTATTACTAATGCAGGAACAATGCAGACTTTAGATGCAAGGCATATAGAGCTTTTCCTCTGTGACGGCTACCAAAATGGGAGCTGGGAATACCAGCTAATAGGATCACATGATATCAAAAAGCGAGCAGATGGTGCAGCTGGGGCCATTTTTGATCTCACACACTTGAAGGATTCTTCAACTTCTGGTAAATCCCAACACTTTTATTAAGCTCCCTAGTCAATAGTGCGTCGTGAATTTACCTTCCGTTCTAACGAATAGATTCAACCCCAGTCCACAAATCGGAAATTTAATTCTATATCTTAAACAAAGCGGGTACTTATTTAATTAATCCACTAAACAGTTTTAATAAGCAATTATTTCCACGAAAAATAGCTCAAGTGGTTTCAGCCTTTCAGGTGATTGTTATTTCAGCAACTTGCTTCATGACCTATTACTTCTAGGATTGGCATTAAGGCATAAATACAATCTCTTCTAATTTCCTAACTGTATGGCAGTGGTATTTGATTACGCGTCATGGATAGGCAGACACAATGACTGGCAACCAAAGGCCAAGATTGCTCCCCATGCGGTTGCTGTTAACACGAATTTACAAGATAATGAAGGTAAGAAAATTTCTATTTTCCGGATATGTATCAACACCGGAAATGAATCCCTGTAAACTTTAGAATCTCATTCTTCTTATCCAGACCGGTCAAGCAATTTTTTGCCGGCCATAATGATAATAGTCGTTTCTACTGCCTTCCTTGCCCATGATAGATATATAGCTTTTATCATGTTTTACAATTATATTCTGATGCAATTAAATTACATTTGATTTTCTTCTCCTAATTACTTTTGTTTATCATGTTTTATAATTTCGTTCTGATTGAATCAGGTCTTCATGTGAAATACCATGCTATGAAGGCTGGAGGTGACGGGCCAGTAGTTGCCATTAGAATCTCTCAGCAGCTCCTTTGATTCATTTTTATCGAGTCTTGAAGGGATGCCAGTATCACATTTTTATACGGCACTATACCTTACCATCGTTAAATCCTTTCTTTGACTTCCAATTATATAGCTCCGGGCAGAAATTAACGGATCATGATACATACATTTCTCAAGTGCAAAGTTACCAATTGGTAATGATTACATAGCATTCTTTTGTATGCTAGTATAAAAATATACTTGAAGATCATGCATGCTATTTGTCTCGTACCATTCTATTTCCCAAGCAATTGCCTGGCATGGCAAAATAAGAATTCTTAGCTCCGTAAGTGTGCAAGTTTTTTTTTTTTTTTGGAGCGATTCAGTATATTTATCTGCCATATTTCAAAAAATTCTGTCACCAAGTAAGGTAGGAGAGAACATTGAAATGATATTTGTAGCTGTTAAATACTAAATCTTCAGATATTAGCCTTAAGTCATGTATGTTCTGTTAACTATAATTCTAATCCATTAACTTACGAAGAAAATACTGGTCCAAAATTTTTTTCGCAATAATGCAACCAACACACCAACATTTTAGCTACATATGCTTCATTTATTCTAAAATACAAGTCTTTTGAAAGAAAATTTTTGTTTAATTTTACATGTCTTTTAAAAAATTTAATGCATCATTTATTAATGTGTCCCTATCATACCCTTATTTATAATTTCCATGTAACATTTATAGAAGTACAATTTTTCTTTACTATTTCTTATTAATTATGAAATAATTAAGAATTAATTTGAAAATATGAAATAAATTTTGATATATTAATTAATAAATTAATAAATTAATTGTATTTATTAATCCATGTGTCAAAGCTTTAAAAATTATATTTTAAGATAATGCATATCTCCATTTGAATTTACATAACTATGAAGTGAGTGAAAAATGATACCCATATTTCACGTACTAGTATCATAATATAATTTACCTTTTATTTGGAATTTAGATCCACTTATGGCTAACTGCAATTGTTGAATTTTACGCAACAATGGTTGATGAAGGTGAAAAGAAGTAAATTAAAAGATTAACTGAGTTTTGTTAAAACTAATATTTTTTTTGGGGGCTTGGAACACTTACATTTGGCATTTATGGTTGATTATATAATAATTTAAATTTAATGTTTTTATATTTAATACGAAGAATTTCAAAAATAATTATAATTAAGCAATAAGTAATTTCTTATAATTATTAAGATTTGTTTTTTTTACTGCAATTTTGATTTTTTTTTTTTAATCTGAAGTCGAGGCTAAAGGTTTTTCCCCACAAAACTTCAGCTCGGCTCTGGCTTCGTTATTTTTCCGCGAAAATCTCGAGAGACACTGTATTTTGGTCAGCTAGGAGCCAAGGACAACACTCCTGGTGAACTCCGTTAGTTCGTTAACTCCATGAAGCAAAGGCCATCGCCACATCTCTGAACGTAGAAATCATAATCAAGGCGAAGTAGGTAATGGCTGATAAGAGTCGGACCTTTCCGGCGGATCCGAACCTCCCTCGATGGGTTTGTCAGAACTGCCACAACTCCCTCTGTATCGTCGGCGTCGATTCTTATGCTGAAAAGTTCTTCAATGACCCTTCTCGTTCTGGTCAGCTAGGGTTTTTCCCCTTTGCCTTCATTTTTGATATGGTTTTATTTGAATCGGTTCTTTTTTTGTTTGCATACTTCTCATTATGTTTGGATTTCATTAGGGACGTTGCTGTTGGATTAGGACGGATCACTGAATTATAGTATTTATGCCGTTTAATGTGATAAGTTTGCATTCAGGATATCATTTTTTAGACGATATATTCCATGACCAGGTTTGGATTATACCTTTGCTGGGTACTGGTTTTTGACGAGGGAGAATTTGTCCATAATTTGCAAAGCTGGCCAGAATTGAGTTGGTTTAGTAAATTTTTTGCGTTGTTTTGCTTACCTTAAAAATTGTTCCTGGAGAGGGCACTTCGTGTGGTTCACTTTTCTTCGCTGTAATAATATGTGTCGATTAATTTAAACAAATTTGATGTGTATTTATTAAATATTTTTCTTGGTTATGCAACAGAAAGGAAACCTTTCTTTTATGTCAAGCACTCTCTACCCCAGTGAAGGACTTTACTAGCTGAGTTAGTGGATAATTATTTAATGCTGTATGAGAGGATTGTTTTGATTTATTATGATGAAGAGGTGATGCACATGCAGGAATGCAAGGATCTTCCATCGATGGGGCTAACAGTGTCCTAAGTACTACTAGAATGGACAATTCTTATGTTGTCTTGCCAAAGCAACGACCTTTGGCTCAAGGAAATCCTCCATCTTGCGGTGCAATTGTTAAGCCAGACACAGGCCAACGGGGAAAGGCAATGGAAGAGTCATTTGTGGTTGTGCACAAGTCTGAATCCAATTCTGATGGAAGTGGAAACCATGCATCTCCTGGGGCTGATCCAAGTTGTCATTTACAGCCTCACAACTCTGGTTTTCATTCCACTATTACTGTGCTAAAACGTGCTTTTGAGATTGCCACAACACAGACACAGGTTCACATAAATGGAATCGATAATTTGTTTCTCAACCCAGATGACTTGCTGGCAGTTAGCTCATTATTTATATCAATTCATATGCATTTTCAGGTTGAACAACCTTTATGCCTTGAGTGCATGAGGGTATTATTAGATAAGCTTGATAAGGAGGTTGAAGATGTAAACAGGGACATTGAAGCATATGAAGCCTGTCTTAAACGCTTGGAAGGGGAGGATGGAGATGTGCTTAGTGAAGCTGATTTTCTGAAGGAGAAATTAAAGGTGATTAGTGGTTTACTATTTCCATTTTATGTGTATCATGTTGGTTTATGAGATGTGAATGACTATTTTCCTTAGTTTGCTCAGAAATAATAGTTGGTTTGGTATGGGGTTGCAATTTTTTTCTTAGACAAAATAATTTAATGAAAAGAAGAACAATTAAAAAAAATTGAGAATAAGCAGTCCTCCCAAAACAAATAAAATAAAAATTGCAGATAACACTAAGACGTCCACAGGGATACCTCCTAGAAAGTTTTAACTGCTGAAATCCAGAGAGGGGCCAAGAAGGTAATTCTGACCTCAATTGGATGTGATGGAAAAAAACTTAAATTAAATACTAATGCATTCCTTTCTAACCACTAATGACCATCACACCCACCAAGACTGCAAACCCCAAAAGAACTTTGTACTCCTTTTTCGAGCCAGAGCCTGTGAAATTAATTGCTAAGAAAGCCTCCGGATTAGCTGGACACCTGTTGCTCCTCAAACATAATGAACAACCTACTTCAAATCTTCCATGCCATTTTATAATGCAAAATAGATTATTGTTTCTGAATCAAAAAAACAAATATCACAATTCGCAAATATTAGGAGAAATATTGTTATTGGGCCTTCAAGTATGAAGCAAGTGATTTGCATTAATCCTTTATGTGCATGAATTTTAAGATATTTAACAACACGTATTCTATCTTGATAGAGCTGAATCTTTCAATAGCCATGATTGAAATTGGATCCTCTACATTCACGCATTCATATATTAAAAAAGAAAGTGACACTAAAAAATGTGATTGATTTTGTAGCCCAAATCTTATCTGTACTTTCATAACCTCTTTTATCTTCATCTCTATTTGGATGCACCGTCAGTTTAGGAAGTTCAGGTGGTCTGGATCCTGTGACTAACTTGCTATAGTACATGCACCCTTAGGGGGTCATTCCAAGATCAGTCCTATGTAATCTTGTCCCTTCATTCCTTTTTCTCTATTTTCCATTTGGGCCGTAATACATTCTTGTCAGAAAGGAAAAGAAAGGTGAAGTTGTTTTCTTCCCCTTTGCAATATATATGGCTTTTTTGGAGTTATGATGTGTTTTGTCCTGCAAGTCAACCTGTCAGTGGGCAATGTGGGATTTTATCCGACATGTCATTATCTTAGATAGCATGGCTTTGATTAATATTCTGTTATTGAGATGATCATCAAATTTTCTTGTAAAGCCTAATGATTGATTTGATTCATGAATTCTATTAAAGATTGAGGAAGAAGAAAGAAGGCTTGAAGCAGCAATTGAAGAAACAGAAAGACAAAATGCTGAAGTAAATGCTGATCTCAAGGAGCTAGAGTTAAAATCAAGCCGCTTCAAAGAATTGGAGGAGCGGTATTTTTACTGTCTTTACCTTTTGTATATGTATTTTTGCAATCAAATTTTGTCACACCTGTAAATGCCCACATTTTTCTACATCACCATTGTTCTATGGATATAGATGTCGTATTATTTGTTTCTCCCTAGTGTTTGTGGAGCCTTAATATCATTACTTATTTCACATATTTTAATCTGTAACAGGTATTGGCATGAGTTCAATAATTTTCAATTTCAATTAATTTCTCATCAGGTTTGTGGTTGATTATTGCTTTCTTTTGGTTTAATATCTCTTTCAAAATGCTCTTCTAATTAAACTTTATTCTTAAGTTTTTGTTGGTTTGTGCTAGCTATCATACTCTTTAAGTTGGTTTAGGTGTTTTCTGAAGGATCGTTGGTTTGATTCAAACCACATAGTTAATTTCTTTGTTTGGGCCTTGTCAATTAGTGTCTCTACCGCTACTGCCATTTTTGACTGTAGAATGATAGAGTGAAGGAAATAAAACTGATTTAACAGGAGGAGAGAGATGCAATTTTGGCCAAGATTGAAGTTTCACAAGCACATTTAGAATTGTTGAAGCGAACTAATGTGCTAAATGATGCCTTCCCTATCTCACATGATGGAGAGTTCGGAACAATCAACAATTTCCGACTTGGAAGACTTCCTAAAGTTCCTGTAAGATATTTAGCATGTTTTCTCTTGCTCATTATTTTGAACTTAATATTTATCACTGGATTTGTTGCAATGTAACTTAGTGCATTTTGGATAATTGGCGAATAACCATGAGATATAGGCAATCTGTTTATAGTCATTGTTATGAGTTTAGCTTTGTTTTGTTCTTTGATATGCTCAATTTTCTAGTCCAAATGCCGAGAGTGTACAGATGAGACTGAGAGTTTTAGTGTGATAAGCTTGTTGCATCTGGTTGTTTAGTTTACTAACGGATAGAGTCTTACAGATAATTCGGCAAATCTACAAATTTTTTGCTTCATACACACTGTACTTCTTATGTTAGGGCTACTACAAAGCATAGTTTTGCTGTCTGCTTAAATATGTATATTCTAACTAACATGATGCAGAAGTTCATTTCTCAGTATACTTTTGGAAGGCAATCTATTGATAATTTACTACCAAAGATATCAAACTTGAATAATAATTTAAGAGGATTTAATTGTTTGTTTATGCTGGAATTTGAAGCTTGTTATTGTGTTCGATGTCAAGAATTTCATGGCCAAAAAGTAGCAACGATGGTTCTAATGAACTTATTTTCAGGCAAATTCTTCATCTGGCAAAGAAAACCTTTTTAGGTGAAAAAATGAGCTTCTATGATTCAATAGTTCATAAATTGATTTTTGACAAAGACCTCTGAGTACAGATAACTAATATAAGGCATGATAATATGATTATTTAGATTCTATGGTGTGTAAGGTTGTATTTTTCTGTTCCTGTTCACAAAATGATAAAATGGTATAGCCATACGTGGCATTTGCTCATACTATTATAGGAATAAGGTGTAATTATTCACTTTCTTCTTGAGCATTTTCCTGGCTTGTTTCTGTTCTTTGCTTATATAGAGTCCTTTTTTTTTTATTGTGATATTCACGGTTTTCCATAATGTACAGGTTGAGTGGGATGAGATAAATGCTGCTTGGGGCCAAGCTTGCCTTCTCCTTCATACAATGTGCCAGTATTTCAGGCCTAAGTTTCAGTATCTTTTTTCATTAAGAAAATAGGATCATTTTGCTCACTACTATTTTATTTTGTTTAAATTTTTTACGGCTTCGTATAAAAGCCATTCATAACCCCAGAACACAGTTCCAATATTTTATCAAAAAAAGTTCAGATTTAGTGACAGGCTTGGTAATTATTGGTGTCTCAATGATTACTTATATTCTTATCTGGCAATCAAGCCGAAGTTTACTATTGCTATGCACTCTCTCTTAAAATGCACTACTGAGTCATCTTATTTTGCTTCTATATGTGCCTAGTCCAACTTCATGGTCTTCTAGAATCCACCTAGATATTTTTCTTAGGTGAAAGAATCTGGTTGCTGATCCAATTTACTGTACAATGAGGAATGGATCTTGCACGCTCCTAGTTGCTTTTATGCAACTAGCTTCCATTTTCATATTATTTTCATTCTGCATTCTGCATATGATTTCTTGCTAATGACTTGTGAGATATCCTTAATTATTCAAACCTTAGATCTAAAATAAAAATAATTCCTATGGGTAGCTACCCTCGCATCATGGACAGCAGCAATAGCACTTTGGAGCTGTGAGTATGCTTTATACTGCTATCTTTGTTTGTTTTTTATTTAAACATTGTGATAACTTCTTAGAGTTTTTGAAATGTCATTTCTATGAAATTTTCAGTCGAGCTTTTGCCTTCACTCAGCTTAACAGCAGTGTAATTTGATGAAATGTCTGCCTTTAGTTTGTTCTTACATTTGTCCATTGGATCATTATATATTGATGTCAGGATTTTCAGGTTTGGTCCAGTCAACTTGTTTTGGAGCACTCGCTATGACAAAGCAATGACTTCGTTTTTGGTATGCCTCAAGGAATTTGCAGAGTTTGCCAATTCTAAGGATCAGGAGAATAACATTCCACCTGAGAAGTGTTTCAAATTGCCTTATAAGTAAGTTCTATCATATGTATTAGTGGCAATGGATTTAATATCGGCATAGGATCTTGAATGTGTATTGAGATATTAAAATTATATATAAATAAAAAGATATCATGTATCTTGAGTGGGGCATCTGCTATGATAATTATGCATTTTTCTATGTGTACAATTTTAAAATATATTGCTTTAATTATGATATATACACGGCAATAGATGGAACAAATAAGATGCCTTCCCTCCTCACAAAGCAACAAACCCTTTTTTCCTTCTCATCAAGTCATCATACACAATTCCCCCTGCCCCATCCCGACCGAAAAAAAACATTTATGTCAACTGGCATACTTTGTAGATATACTTTTAACATGTCATGGAGAATTGCAAATTAGGCAACTCTGATTTTGACTTCTTAAATGCATTTTAGGCCCTTCTGCTATGTACATTGATGAAGTCGATGAAAGCATGGGCCATTTTACTTTTACTTTTACTTTGTAGCTTCGTGCTTATCTTAGAAGAACTGCTCAAACTCCTATAATGACTGAGGAGCTTAAAACACAAAATCTAAATGTAGTCATATACCTTTGCACTAAATGCTGGATTATCCCAACTTTCAGCGACTCATTTCCGATCCTTTTTCATCAGAAAAGAGATGAAGAAACAAGGAAAAGAAACTGAAACCTGCATATAGTGTATTCTTTTGCATTATTTTCTCTTCTGAGTGCAGGCTTTATTATGTAATATTATTTATTTATTTATTTTGCTCATGTGAATTCTTAGTTGTGACTTGTGGGAGCTGCTAGGTGTGGTAAAGTGGTAATGAGTGGTTGTAGTAGATTTTTTTTGGCCCAGAGAGTAGGTAGTAAATGAGAGCTTTTAAGTTCATACCTCCATTTTTTCACGTACTAATAAAAGTTTGGCTGTGGCATAATAGAAAGTTCTTGTGGCTTAAATTAGAGGCCGTAAGAAATCAATTGATGGGTACTGGAATGCCTGCCCCTCTTGCAAAACTTCTTTGTACTTTCAAAATCCCTGTTTACCTTTCATGGATTTCACTGAAACGCGATTTGTGAACCAAATCAGAAGTTACTTTTGTTGCATAAATGGGCTCGTATAAATGTGATTTATTTGTATTCTAATTTTTAACTCATGCACAATCTGTAACTATCATTTTTTTCTTCTTTTGGTTTAGAATGACATACCATGGGCTGTGTTGATTTTGTAGGATTGATATTGACAAATTTGGTAACTACCATTTTTTCGAAAATGGCTTCAATAAGCAGGAGTCGCAACTGTAAAACTTTGTCTCAAACTCTCTCTCCTCTCTCTTTTTATTCTATTTTATTTTCTTTTGCTTTTTTAAACTTTTCATAGATTGCATTGAAACCTAACTAGTGAATCAAATCAAAAGTTATTGTTTTTGCGTGTGTAGATGCAGTTTATTCTCCCTCCCTCCCTCCCGCGCGCACACACAGCGCGCACACAAAATCTGTATTCTCATTGTTCAGCTTATACACAAGCCGGAACAATCATTAGTTATTTGCGGTTAGAATGACAAATACCATGCATGGGCTTTTGATTTGTAGGATTGAAAATGACAAAGTGGAAAACTACTCCATCACTCAAAGCTTCAATAAACAGGAGAGTTGGACTAAAGCTCTCAAGTACACACTCTGCAATTTGAAATGGGCTCTGTACTGGTTCGTTGGAAATACGAATTTCCAGCCTCTTTCTGCAACAGTACCTTCCCGTGCTGAAGTTCCAGCTGTGGGGTCTTTGTACGTGAAGCGAGGTAATGAACCCAGGTCTGAATCTCGAAGGTAAATACATGGCAGGATTTTTCCAAAACATAAATGTGTACAGATCAATACGTAGTATTTTTTATGTTTTTTTTTTTTGGTTGGCCAAGCGTATTTTTATGTCTTTGAACAGGTTGCTCTTTCAGTTCCCTAATGTAAGACGGACATTTTTTTTTCCATTTTGGGGTTCTATAGATAAATCTTCCCTATTTTGCCCACGTTGTCAGCTCTAGTAATAAGCTCCTATTTTCTTTGCTCTTTTCCCGAGCTGAATTTATAGAACCTTTTTAGGTACCTAAGAATGGCACAACACATTCTTGGAAGACCCGATTTTGAAAGATTTGTTTTTTTTTTGTTTTTTAAAGAAGAGTAAAATAGGACATGGGCACGTCGAAGGTCAATTTCATTAAATATAGAGTATGTGATCTGTCCGATATGCGTAGGTCTTTGAATTTTTGGTCTTATTTTTTAATTTAATTTCTATAGATAATATTTTTCTGGGAAAAAAATAACTGGGATTCACTTTAACCGGGCACCTCGTAGTTCGCTCTTTTATTTTTGATTAAAAAAGCCTTCTCGTGGTATCATTTTGTGTGTTGGACTTGGACTCGCCCCCTCCCACCTGCCCCTTCAGCAATGGTAAAAGATGGTGTTGGTGATGGTGATAGACCCATCAGAATTGGATGTTTTGGCAGAACAAGCACAACCTAACCTTGATCGTAGTTTTATTCTAATAAGTAATTGTAATTGCTTGTGCTCTAAAAATGTAATTTATTGGACACTTGAAATGAGATGAATGACGTCGGAGGCTTGACCACTAGAAGAATTTTGTGGAAGAGGCTTTTTGCACGTTTATGCTAGAACATTTGGAAAGAAAAATGCAGCTCTATTTACTTGGAAGAAAACATCCTTGCCACAGGCATAGGTTTCACCTCCACCCAAGAATCAATTACTTCTCTTTTGACAATGCTTGAGCTCTTGTAAAATAGATTCCACCGAAACTTGATATGTTTGACTTGATATAGGCGATTTATTTAATTTTTATAGAGTTGCTTCTTGTGGTGACTTCATTCATTATGTCTAAAAAAATTGGTTAAAGGGCTTCTTTGAATATTTTGAATGTTATCTCAACATTGTCATTGAACTTTTATATATTCTTGAGGATATCAACTACGTTGGAAGTGCAGTTTTTTCAAAGTCAATATCTATTCTAACTCTTTCAAAGCTTTAGCACTCATTCAAAGCAACCTCACACAAATCATCCCCTTGTTGACGCCATCAACAAGATTAGTGGTAGACTTAGGACTTAGGGCTAGTGGGGGCAGAATTATTTTGGTGAGTCACAAATAATATACTCTATCAATAGCAAAATTTAATTTACCATACGTATTGAAAGTAGTTGATAGAACCATATGAATTAGGTTTTCTACACCTGCAAGAGTTGATATTTAAATGTCATCCACTTGTTTAAATAATAATAAGACCTCTACCATGTATATTTTATAAATGATTTTAGTAAAAATCTAGACAAAAAATAAAATAATAAAAGAAATAAATCACTAGAAACATATTTCTTTTCACTAGAAACATATTTCTTTTGGACCAGAATATAAGGCATTAATAATTATTTCATAATTAAATGCTCTATATAAATGTCTCAATAATAATAATTAAAATTTTAATGTATCATTTTTTAAAATGAATAATAAATAAAGTAGGGATGTGATTGAAAAAACCATTATAAAAATGATCTAATGTCTTATATTTTGAATCAAACAGAGCTTTTAGGAGATATCTTATATTGTGGTACCGTTTGAAATAAAAGTTTCAATAAAAAATAATTATTCATAATACTTAAATTATTTTTAATTCTTAATCATCTCTTACCATCCATTATTCCAAATTTTGTCAACTTCACTCCTCCCAATATCTTGAGTCTAAAGTTTTAGATGTAACTATACTTCTTCTCTCTAACTTACTCTTTATCAACCCCTCACATGGATGTAGGTGAATATAATTCCCCTTTTTTTCTTCCTCTTCCCTTGTTCTTCTTTTGATTAGTGAGTTTAAAACTAGTATATCTATGGGGGAAAATTTAAACTCAATTCATATTTACATGAAGCATCATAATTTTTTTTTTGGTGGGGGGATTGCCCACCCTCAAATATACATAGGCCCACCCCTGGACAAGATCATGAATTTTGTTATGAGAGATTGAATGGTCACATTCAAATATGTTTTTAAAGAAACTAACATGTGTGCGTGTTGATTTGCTTGTCAAGCTTTAGACAGTAACATTAGTATTAAGATTTTTGATGATCTATCGATGGATGCAAAAATTATATAATGTCTAACATAACCTAGATATTTTTCCTTGCATAATTTGTTGTGATCATGTATTAAAAAAAGTTATTTATAGAGAGAGAAATTTATGTGCTCGGTTATTAGCCAGGCTAATCCAAAGTCTTGATAGGCTTTTTTTTTTTTTGGGTTACATTTCACCCATAAACAAGCAAACTCGTCAGGTAACTCATCTAGAAAAGCATTTAAATCAAGGATCTTACAAACCGGTAGTAAATCGGACAACCTTAACTATAAGCTAGCAATTATTGCCATTTTATTTTTTTTAAAATTACAATTCTTATAAAACACCATTATAGGGATGGGATAACATCAAGAGTTAATCATGCCTCATCTAGATATAGCTATAGAAATCTTTATTTATTTTCATAAAATAATTAAAATAAATATGAGTATCTCTTTTATTATATTTTTTAGTATTTTTAGACTCTTCATATTTCATTTAAATTTTATTATTATTTAGATTTATTTTTATAACTTTTTTTACTTTTTAATGTAAAATAACTAATTTAAATTTAACAATATATTAATTTAACTATAATCGATTTGATCACAATCTAATTAGTATTCAACTATTGAATTATTCATCAGTATCTTAACCATTACATGATGATTTTTAATAGGATTAAAGGACAAAAACATCCATCAACTTTTCTTAGGAGCACCCAATATTCTTAAGTGAATAAAGGTGCAAGAATACTTATAAACTTATTATAATAAGTATAATATTACTCATTTTATAAATTTAACTACTGTCCACTAACGTTGACCTTTCAATAAAAGGAAGAAAATATAAAATTTAAAAATATTTAAAAAATTTGTCAGACGCTTTTGGTATGTTTAAATTAACAATGGTACATGGATATCTTAACCTTATAAAAAAAGGTTATCTAGTCAAGTTCACCCCTAATAACTCAAGCTTTCAGGCTTATTTAGCCTGGTCCAAATATTTGAATTGTTAAGTATTATTTTATTTTTAATCAATTTCAATTTTTATCTTAAAAATTGACATTTTTAATTTTTATTTTATTTCATTAATAATAAAAAATATGATTACCTCAACTTTTTTTTAGTTTGAGTTGGGCCTAAATTTTGTCCGGCTTATTTGGGCAAATAAGTGAAAAAAAGAGAAAATTTTATAAACTATCAAGGTTGGTCATAAAGTTTTTTTCAGCTTATTTGAGTTAACTTATTTGGTTTTATTTAAATCATCGGCTCTAACCTTTTTCAATTTGTTAAAATAACTTGACATTGGCCGTAAAAATCTAGGATTAGAATTTAATGAATTAGAAAAAGTGGTCCTATTTTATAAAATTAATGAGTAATAATATATCATTATTATTGACTTTAGAATACTGAAAGTTTTTAAAAAAGAAAGGCTTATGAATGTTTTTGTATCTTTGTTTACGTTTTTTTAATGGTCAACGGATGTTTTGCCTTTAGCCCTTTTAAAGTAAAACGCTATTGATAAACCGTACAAGGGAAAAAAATAAACGATGTCATATTAGATTACGAAAGATTTCTGAACTCCAGAGATGAAATATCAAAAATCAGAACATCTATTGCAAGAAAAAAAAAAAAAAACAAAACAATATTATTAGAAGCCCTCCGATGAGAAGATCCGCAGCTAATATTCCGTTTTCATTTCTTTATTTACACAAGCAACTTAGGAACTTCCCATGTCCGTCTCAGGCTCTCCAGTCTCTTGTTGTCTCACTTATATATATATATATATATATATTTACTAACAACTTTCTATTTATTACCCACCCCCTCATTGAAATTATTAGGAAAATAAGGAAATTTATTATGAGAAACTGAATAATCATGTTTGATCATGTTTTTAAAAAGTCAATAAATGAACTGATTTGCTTGCACATCAAATTTTAAATGATAATTTAGATGTTAGGATTTTTGATATTTCCCAATGAGTGTAAAAATTTTTGGTACTCTAACATGACTTATCATCATTTAACATGGATTTTTCATGGCCTTATATTAAAAAAATTACCAAGATAAACTAAACTTTTGATATTTCATAAAAAACTTGTTTTTTTTTTGGGCCAAAGATAAAAATTTCTTACTTGCTTCAATTATTTAATGCTAAAATGTACCTAGTATTTTAACTTCACATAAGGTTTTATTTTAATTTTTTAATTTTATAAAATATCTTTTTAATCTTTTAATTTTAACACTATTAGTTTCTTTACAAAAAAAAATTTACATTAAACTTTTAAATATTGAAAAAATATACTCAAAATGTGAATATCTTAAGTTTATTTTTTTAAATAACAATAAATGATATAAAAAATAATCATTTAAAGTTAACGATGTTGGAGTTGAAGGACTGAAAAGATATTTTATAAAATTAAAAAATTAAATTAAAATCTTATATAAAATTAGATAACTAAAAATATATTTTAGCCATTATTTAATCATAATTTATTATTTTAAAGAAATTAAAAAAATAATAATTAGAAAGAGCAGAAAAGTAAATTTTGCACATAATTATATGATTCTCTTTCTTTTTCAAGGCAATGTCTTGTAAGAAAATAAATGGAAGTGTGAAGAAATTATTCCAGAGTCATGATATATTATGGCTGTTTGAATACTTTGAAAAAAAAACCATGATTTTAAGTAGATAATTAATTTTGGCATGTAATAAAAATGTTTGAATATATTTTTACAAAATCATAATATTAACCAACAAAAAGTTGATCATTGATAAAATCCCATCCGGCACTATATATTATCATCAGAGGACCGAGTTTCGTAGAAGCAAGAGTCAGTGAACTTTTTCACACAAAGCACCAAAAATCAAAGACACCATCACTCCGAAATGAGGCCGTTACAATTCCTTAATTTCAATGTATGCACTCACCAATCTCTCTACATATATTCATTCTTCAGGAATGCATAATCTCGTGTCAAGCAGCGAGCGAACTAGTTCCCTCAAAAACACGTACGCTGTGGTGAATTTCTTCAACAATATAATCAATGAAAATGGCAGGAGCTTCTTCCATGTTTCGCCTGGTAGCCATGATGGTTATGGCCATTGTTGTACTGTTATCATCAACATCTGAAGCTGAGCATCATGGGTCGCCGGCGGCAGCAGTTTCGTGCAATCAACTTATTCCGGCGATCACTCCTTGTCGTCGATACTTGATGGGAACTAATTCCAAGCCTTCTGAAGGCTGCTGCAATGGCGTCAAGATCATCAACGAGAAGTCAAGAGCCAAACAAGACCTGGTTGTTGCGTGCAACTGCATCAAGCAAGCACTCTCCCTAGTGGGCAAATATGATCCTAATCGCATTCCTATGATTCCTAAACAGTGTGGCTTCCCTTTCTCCCTTCCTGCCATTAGTAAGAACACTGATTGTTCCAAGTAAGCCTTTTTCCCTAACTATATTTGCATCTCTGTTATCAAGTTTCTACAACTTGCTCATAATTAATTGCATAGTATTGAAAAACTGCTCTAGTTAACTCACCGGTTGAACTAGTAAACCATGAGTCAATGTTTTGAGGTTTAATAAAATGTTTTGTTTATGATCAATTTGATCATGGTTTGATTATGATTTTAATCATTAATCCCTTGAACCAATATTTTAAAGGGTTCAATGATTAATCAAAATTTTAATACGTTAGTGTGTTTTGCCTACACGATGACTTGAAAAGATTCTCTTTCAATTATGCAGGCTTGTGGAGGGTGGCTTTTGAATAAGGCTTGGTTTGGATGAAGAAGAAGTGGGAAAAAAACAGAAAAAAAAAGAAATAGGAGAAAAAATTTTAAAAAATAGTAAATTTTATTTACTATTTTTAAGAGTCTTTCTTTCTAGTTTTCTTTTTTCTTTATTTTTTTTCCTTATTCAAACGAAAGGCTAGTGTGACATGAATCAACAAGCTTGCTATAAATAATATGAGGATAGATAATTACTCTCAAAAAAATAAAAAATCCACGTAACTTGCCTAGTCAACGGAATGCTGTGTTGCCAGTTGCTTAACTTGCTTTGGTCAACGGAACCTGTGTTGCCAATTGCTCAAGTATGCTCTTTGACTATAATTATTAAATTTTCTATATGTATATCAATATCAGTGTTCTATATGGCATTACAAAGGAGAGCAGGTCCTCTCATGTTCCCTCCCCTCCTATCCTAACAAGAGCTGGTGCGTTAACAAGAAAAAAAAAGTAAATATTGGATAAGTATATTTATTTAGTAACTAGATGATAATTCACGGTCGATGAGAATAATAATGGATTAAAGTAATTTTAATGAACTTTCTGAGTTTCTTCCCTCTAATAATGTAAAAATTATCTGTACGAACAATCAAGCATCGTGGTCCATTCATCTTTAGGTAGCCTTCAAATAAATCAAACACCTTTGTTTATCAAAAAAATAAAAGAAAGAAAAAAGAGATGTGGCGATCGAGACCGAAAAAACAGAGAGTTAAAAACAGAGGGAGAGTGATAGATATAAATGGATTTCACCTATCATTGTTAGTGTGATTCTTACATGATTCTAACTTTTCATTTCATAAAATTTCATTCAACAATCAATAGTTCTAACCGGAAGAGAATATATAAGATGTTTGGAGGAAAAAAAGAATCTGACTATTTGTAATTTGACATGGTAACCCATTATCTTAGTTTGGTCCAGTGATAATTCTGCAAATTAAGGAAAAGCAAATCAATAACGAAGAAAATATATACAAGTAAAAAGACTATCATCGATCATTAATAGAAAGTATAATGGGCTTCCAAATTTTAACTACGAATAAAATGTCAATGGTTAAGCCGCTTGGTGCAACAAAACGAGAAAGAGGATCTTACTTACTCATTTTTATGAGATGTCCCCGAAGGGACAGAAAGAGGATCTTACTACGTGAAGGTTTGAAATCTTGCAAATGTTCACCATTTCAGAAGCCTTTCATACTTGGCGTACCTATGCGTGGCTCCCATAATAATCCTTTTGGTTTAATAATTAAAGCTGATAATTTGTAAAGTTTGAAATTTCAAAATTCTTTTCTTTTTTTCTTTCTAAATTCACTATTTTTTTTTTGTTGTAAGATTCTAATCCCACTTTTAGGATATGTTTGATTGGGGATGTTTTGTTAACATTCTAAATCCACTTTTTTTTTTTGGCGCATCAATCTCTCATCACTAGCCAGCAAAAAAATTGGACTTCAAGACTTCATGCAAATTATTCACAATGGTCACCATTGCGCCACTTTTAATAGTTTTTTCTCATAAAATTTTGACTAACTTATATGAGCTTTGACCTATATGAAAATAATCACCTTCACATTTAAAACTTGACAAGGAACACAGTACATTTTCAAGCCATGTAGCCAATTTTTTGAGTAACATACACTGTTTTCCCATTTATTTTAACCTATATAATTAATTAATACAGAGACCTCTCATTTAAACTTGCATAAATTTCCCTCAAAATTAAAAGTTATGATACATATATAGACCTCCTCTGTGTGTGTGTGTGTGTTTTTTTTTAAGATTCCATTTTTACTCATCTAATTATCAATTAATTTAATTGATTGTTAAATCATATATATATATATATATATATATTTATCAAATTACCTCTCTTTAATATAAATATTTACAAATCATATAAGTTATTAAAAATTTTAATGCAAATATTTTGAATTTTTTGTCATATTTAAAATTGATTAATTTTATGTTTAAAACTTTTTAAAATTTTTTATTTTAACATTCATATTAATATAAAAAATTTAAATTTTAAACTTTTTAAACCAATATGTATATGGTGGTGAAAAATACCTCAATCGCTATAGATGAGGAAACTTTACTGAATTATGGATTTAATATCATAACGAGGGATAAATTAATCATTGATATTTATAATTTATATTAGAATATTTACCAAAATATTCTTTATAATGTAAAAAAAATTGGACTAAAAATTATAAAATTAGAATAAAAAGTTGGATTTTGAAAATAGAGAAGAGGTGTTTATAATTTTATAAAAGCAGGAGAAAAGTCAATGTATTTTACCCCAATTTTTAATTACAAAAAGAACCTGTTCCCATGCCGTATTATTATTATTAAAGTATATCTCAGGGTGATGATATATATAATATAGGGTTAATGAGCAAATTATAAACAACTGTTCAAAAATCATCCTGAACCTTAAACTTTTAAAATATGTAAAATAAACTCTAAACTTTTAAATTTATATTAAAATAAACTCTGATTATTAACTTTTTAACATATTTACTGTCCATACAGGTACTGTTCAGGATTTATTTTTCTACGAATTTAATCTTGACTGTTATAATATTCGTGTGAACATTAACAATGTTAAAAAAGTTAACGATCAGAGTTTATTTCATTATAATTTTAAAAGTTTAAAATTTTTTTTAAAATTTATTTTGCATATTTTAAGAGTTTAGGATTCAGAGTGATTTTTGAATAGTAGCTTAGGATCTTATTTATTTATTAACCCTATAATATATTAGAACACTGGGTTTCGTAGAAGCAAGTCACTGAACTTTTGAAACAAAACACCAAGACAAAGGCAACATCATCACTCTGAAAAGTGGCCGTTGTGTTTCCTTATTTCTTCATTTCACACATCAAACATAACACCGATCGAGATGGCGCATATAGCAAGGCAAGAACTGTACAAGCATGTGACTAGCAGCATGGCTCCAAGTAAGGCTTTCTTCTTCGAGCTATATATTTACATCTATATTTTCAAGTTTCTACAACAACTTGATTGGAGTATTGGACAGAAATGGTTAGTCCCTTGCAACTTGACAAACAAAGTTCAAATTCCCACATTTTTAATATCTAACAATATTTTGAATAAGATTATTTCTAATAAAAAAATATTAATCTGTGTGCAATCAAGTTTCTACAGTTTAAAAACTCATGATCTTTACACTGTGTGTTAGTGTTTTCCTACGTAGCAACTTGAAAGATAATAACAACTTCTCTTAGCGGTCTTGGAGGCTAGCCTTTGAATCTAGGGTGGATGACATGGAGCCATAAACTTGCTATAAATAATCTTAGTATCCATAATTAACTCAATAAAAAAAATTATCTATGTAATAACTTGCCCGGTTAATGTATTGCGTCGTCCAATTGCTTGGCTTGTCTGATCAACAGACCTTTGTTGTTACTTGCTTAAGTATGATCGGACACTATTATTATAAAATTTTCTATATGTATCAGTAGTGTTTTGTTTTGACATTACTATCATATACTATGAAGTACCAAATAAATTAAATAATTTAATTTAACTAGTAGTACAAGCATATGGAAATGCATGGATCAATAGTATTTTACACAATTATCAATTTCTATAATTTTTTTGAATTTTACTTTTAATTTTTGTAATTTTTTTACTTTTTTTTAATTTCTATAGTTTTAATAAGATAGTGTGACGTATGCTTTTTAAGTTTTTATAGCTTTATTATTTTCATTTTTTATAAGAATTGAAAACACTAGAGAAAAAAAATTACTGAAATTAAAAGTAAAATTTAATAAAATTATATGAACTAATAATTATGTTCTGCCTAAATTTACAAGCTGAATCACCCCTCACTTACAAAAGAAGTGTGACTAGGTCACAAAATCATTAATATAATATAGCCTTTACTGTGACAATGTTTGAAGCACCCAACCTCAATAGACCTTTTCAAGCTTTTTTCTCGGAAGATGAATCCAAGGATAACGATATGAACAACGGATGTTTCACTCGCATGAATATTTTCTCGCGCTTTTTCGTGGCAATTCTGAGAAAAAGGAGTAAGAGATAAGAATAGTGAGACTAAAGAAAGAAAGAAAGATCTCATGCGCACTTTATTTTTGGAAAGCAAACCATCACAAGTCTTCATAGCATTTTTCACAGTCATATATTTTTGTTGCAGGAATTCTGCAACAACACTTGCAAGCTTCAATATCCATATACACACAAATTTGTTGAGTGCATGCAACATATGCACAAATATCACAACAAAAAACTGACACCCCACCTAAAGCTTTTGAGCAGTGAAATCAGGCTCAGTTGGTTTCTGAGGCAGAAGAGGAAGCAATCTCTGAGGCATTCTTTTGTTTCGATCCCTATTTTTTCTCAGGTTGTGTAACGCATTGGCAGCAAACCTTGATGCATATATGGTGGCACCAAAACTTGGAGACGGACCTTCCTCATTTGCCAAAGCATTTTGTAGCCTGTACTCAGCTTCACGTAATGATTTCTCAATCTTCCTTTTGCAGTGGCGACGCCAAGCTGCTTGTATGAAACGGGCAGCCCATATCCTCCATTGCATGGAATAGTACCTGAAGAAAAAGCAGTGAACTACATTATGAACCTCACATCTCTATCTTAAATTCAAGATACACTTTAAGGCTGAGATAAAGAAGAAAACTTGAAGGCTTTGGTTTCTACAAACTGTGTTACGTTCTTCCCTGCAGCAATATTCCATAAATAGAGAAGATAACACATCATCAAGTATATAAACAGGAAGAAACGTGATTGCATGGCTGATAGCTCTGACCTGAAAGTGTGCTGGATGTGTTTGTTGTGAAGGCGTCGGAATTGGGAAGCAACGTGCTTCAAGTCATTAGCCATGAGAGCGAAGGCTTCAACTTCTGATATAGATTCTACTGTTCTGGTTGAAATGGGAAGATTTGAGGACGAGTTGGGGTCTAAGGCCCATGTTAAAAGCTCCTCTCCACAGAAATCACCTGCCTTGATTACAAAGGAATTGAGAATACCAGTTCTTCCACCATTCGTTGCCATAGTAGCAAGGTTTCCTCTCATAATGAAGAGCATTTGATCCACTGGATCTCCTTCTCGAACAATGTAGCTCTTCTCTGTATAAAGTACTGGCTTCAGCCTATCACAAAGTGCATCCAATAGCCGCTCATCCATTTTCTCAAACAGTGGAACCTGAAGCAATAATCATAATAAGCCTGTTCAGATGTCAGGGAAAATATAATTGGACACAGAAAAATTCTTAGCCAAACCTTGTCCAAGTGAACGAATAAGAGGCACGTAAGCATGTTAAGCATACTTATGAGGGAGAGATGGTTAAACATGATACCCACTTTTTTAAGTAAACCTAAGCAAAGGTGACGCTTTATGTCTCTTCTGAGATCTGTAGGAAGATTGTGGATCAATGTTTCCTCGTCCACTCCCCTGTTTTCTTGCCATTTGTAATGCTCATACCGTCTGATTCTTTCCCTCAAGTGCTCAGGCAGCATACGGTGGGACATCCACCGCTCTGCATCTCGCCTCTTGATTCTCATTTCTTCAACTCTGACAGTTACAGATTGCAGATATTTCTGTAATTATATTCAAAACAACCCAATAAGTTATATTCACAACTTTCAGAATGATGAATACTTGGTTCCCAATGGAATATATGGATCATTATATTCTTAGATTCTCTCCTTACATTCAATATATATAGGTAAATAGACCCAATAGAAGTTTACTCAAGTGGGGTGTCAGTAAACCTCATCACTTGAAACATTCATTCTCGTTAGTAATCGCTCAATCTACACCCACCTCTTTTGGCGTGAATTAAACGTTGCTCCTTTCGGTCCTTTTTATCGATCAAATTCTAGAAGATTTTCTTGGTCCTTATATAAGTCACTTTGCCTTGTTTTTTTTTTTTTAACCTTTGATGCACAATTCGAAAACTACTTTCCAACAAATTCTGAAAAGAAGTTGACTATTTCAATTCTCAAGAAAACTCTTTCCACATTTCAAATAACTCTTTTTAAAATTTAGGGATAAAATTAGAAAGTAATTTATTTTTAAAATAATTTTATTATTTTAAATTAGAAATGACTTGTAAAAAAGATTAGGGGAGTATTTGCTAATAAGGACATAATCTTGTTAGCTTTTAGTGAATAAAATAAAATGAGCAGTATTAACTATTAGATATATCATAGTGCCATGTCAAGTGATTAGACAATTAATCTCAATTATATAAGTATGATGAGTCCTTTCAAAGCAACTTAAGCTATCTTAGTGTAAGTAACAAGTCTTAGTTTAGTTTAGTTTTTTTTTTTTTGGTAAAACCCTAATATAGTTTCAAGGGCCGGGCCTATTTGAAACTAAAATAATTAATATTAAAAAGAAAAAGAAAAAGAAAGGAAAGGAAAAATAGTAAGGAAAATATTAGATTAATGATAGTCTCATGTTGAATCACTAGATAATTAGTCACAACTATATTAGTGTGTGGTTAGTCCTTCAAAGTAGATTAAATTATTTTGGTGTAAGTGATAAGTCTTAGTTTATGATAAACGTAAAACTTTAACATAGACCAGTTTTTAATAACAAATGTTTGTGAAAAGACAACTGTGAACTTTAACCTTGCTAATACAAATAGGTAAAATACAACAGTGTGATACAATCCATTTAATCAATCTCATTTAATGAGGTGAGATTTGTTGTTGTTTGAGTTAGTTTATTAGTTGGACGGTGCTGGTGAATTTGATCTTATAATTCTAGTAAATAATCACCTGCATGTTTCCAATGAGTAATGAGAACAGAACCAACCCAAAAATTGCGATGAAGCAAGCAAAGATGATCTCCCCTACATATGTAGTTGTTTTGAGATTCTGTCCCAGTGAACTGCAGAACATAGCGAAAAATGTTGGACTTTTAGCATGTTCATTCCTTCATAAACATGTCACACACATATCAATGAATCCATAAAAACTTAAAGAGGCCAAAAACTAAGATAAGTATACAGATCTGGAGTTTATAAATGCGGGCCTTGCATGCGAAGTCAAGAACATAGATCACTGAACAACCTTACATTGCGCAAACCCCACCAAAAGCAGAAGAAGATCTTTTGAGGAAAATCCATTGTTGATTCCACAATATGAGATTTTAAAGCGTCGGTGTACATTCCAAAACCAATTTCGTCAGGATCCTCGAAGTGACACTTGAATCTGCGCCAGCATCGAAGCACTGATTCTACTGAAAACAGGTACCAGAAAGCTCCAACCACCTGGTACCCCACATTTACACGGTGATCAAGGAATCTAGTATGATGTCTTGTGTTATAGACAATAAGCAGAAAAATTAGCTTACATGACTTGCTAGCATGTAGAGAAAGAGATTATAAGCAGCGCCAGCCCATGCTGTCTCAGTCAATATGCCAGAATTTCTAGTTACTTCTGTGAATAATGGATGGATCCGAAGAAATCTAGGGACATATTGGATTACTATTGCATATTTTAACCAGTCCTTTTCTACAGATGGACGTGGAACTGAATGTCTGAGTGCCAAAATAACCACCTGAATAAGTAAACATAAAAAGTGATAAAAACAACAGCAAATTATGTCTAGCGCATCAAGTGAATCGGAAAAAACATGACAACAAATGCCTTTACTTTGCTTCCATGATACCCCACATAGGAAAATACTCCCTTGGCCCATCTTATAAGATTTTTTTTTTGAATGATTTGATATTCCATAACATAAGATGTTTTTGAAAAAAAAAAAACAATGATTCATTGATGAAGCTTATTCTAAAAATTACCTCTCGTCATCCCACTCTTGAAATTTCTTTCTTTCTTTCTCCCTTATTAAATGAATGGTGTTTTCAGAAATTTATATTTCGTTGTGGAAAAATTAAAATTCCAAACTGTATTTAATTGACTTCATTGGTATTTGCAATTTTACCCCCCAAAAAAAATGTCTTGTAAAATAGGACAGAGGGAGTACTAAGTAGGGCATTGCATCTGAAGCCATCTTTTGACATGGTATCAAAATTTCTATGGCCAGATACTTAGGGGTGTGTTCATTACCCCTCTCATTCTTCATATTTAAATCTAATTTCATTGCAAAGTCCGTGTGCTCGTGTTTTGTCTACAGTCCAATAAACTTCTTGTGAAGTAAGGTGTCAGAAGTTATAATAAGAGACATTCACATGCCTTCACTTAAAAACTTCGGACATAAAGTGATACTTGACAAAGATAAAGGAATATTCGTTGCCTTTATGATTCTCAAGGCTTTAAATTCACTGAACTCACTGTATGAGTTGATCACATGTTTACAAGTTACGCAAGATAAAGGGTCAAGTAACTTCAACTGGCATATAAGGAAGCCTTTCAGAATGAGAAGAGGGAGATACCTGTGGAAATGGAATAATTGAAAGGATGTCAATGATGAAGTATGAAGATAAGTATCTTTTTGCAATGGCATGAGGATCATCAATGAGCTCACCCCTACCAAATACTCGAGAAGAAGGGGCAATAAAACCCGTTTGAAACTGAAATATTATGTGGAGAATGTAGAAAAGGTCAAAGAATGTACGAAGAGCACTGGCAGTAATCTCCAAGTTGCTATTTAAAGCAAGGCATTTTTTTTCGTCATCAATAACTGGGATGTAAAAGAACAGAGGATCCACAGAAACTGCCAGTACACATGCGATCACAAAAATCTTGTTCCATTTCTGAAGGAAAGACCCCTGTGGATCAAGAATCTTCCTTCCCGAAGCCGATTTCTTAGGTGTTGCATCACTTACTGGATGCACATTTACAGGTTTTCTCAAGGTTTTAATCTTCTCAAACCTTCTCTGGAGTCTTCTTCTAATATTCTTAAACACAGCTCTTACTCTTGGTCTAATTTTTCTCTGAGGATATCCATCATCAGTAGAATTTGTGTTCTCAACACTGAAAGATGATTCTGATCTCCAGTCCTTAAACCTAGATAGAAATGTAAACATGGCGAGTAGCTTAAACAGCAAGTACCAACAATATGTGAGCATCATCTTATTCCCAACAATGTGAAATCAAGTTTTAAGCTTTAACAAAAATCATCAGATTTAGTCTGGGAAAGAATACTCGGTAGACCCAATTTGTGATAATAAGAAGACCAGTCTTTCATGTCTCTTCATGATTTTAAGTCCACTTAATATGTTTTATTCAGAGTCGTTGAAAATCAAGGGCCAGTTGTCTTGTCCTATGATCAAACGTTAATTATTAACCAACTTGGAATGACATATTTTATACTGTAACCAAACTAAGGGAGTGAATTGCTCTGTTTGGTGTCAAGCTCTTCTATTTGAAGAGAAACATCTTTTGAAGTTCCTCTGAAGAACCAAGGTTGCAACAAGTGTCTTTCAAAGTTACCACTCGTGTTCAAGTTGCAATTCAGTTTTCTCAATGTTACAAAGATGTTCTGAATTAGTAATTTTAAAAAGCATGTGATGTCAGCCAACTTCAGAAAATCAATGATATCTCTGAGAAGCATTAGTGGTCGCTTTGAGTTGCAATGACTAATGCTTTAATTTATTACAACTAAATGGACAGAGTTGCATTGCAATGAATTAAAGTTTAATGGCTGAGTTGTAACTGGTCGAAACTATAAAAATTGAATTGTACGAGTTAAAGTTTAAGGACGGAGTTATAATCCAGTCAAAATTAGAGACTAAATAATTAATTTTTTCTTTATTTGTTACCAAGCTTGGATCCATAAGAGGAGTTCTCCTTAAAAAGAACGTTTCATTTAGAAATAGACGACTCAGGCAGTACAACCGTACCGCATCAAGAGAGGAAGTAGAAAGCAACAGAAATATTCAGGTAAAAAAAAAAATGCAATAAAAAAGGAAGTAACAGATATATGGAGTAATATGTGGGATAATAATGGTTAAAACCATGATTAAAGAAACTAACCTCACAACTTTTTGCCCCTTGGCATCCATGATTAGCCCTCTTATTCAGCCAAGAGAAGATTTAAGCTTTAGAAAGAGAAGCAATTTATTGGGTACAGAACAAGACTCAGGTCAGGCCTGCAAAATCCAACTTCGGTTAAGAGTCACGTCTCTGAAAAATTAGAGTCTTGCACATGAAAGAAACTAAAGGAAAAAAATAAAGTTACATTGTTAAATAAAAAAAAAAAAGTATTCTTAAGATAAGGTCACAGTAACACTTGCACAACTTAACGATTAAGTCAATGAAGTCAATCTAGCAAGTCAAGTGCTAATCACATGGGACACACCAATTTATCGAGAGACAAAGAAGGAAGGAGAAAGATTTGAAACTAAGTAGGACTATTCACTGATATAGAAGAAACCAAGATGAAGAAAACATGAATCAAGTTGAACAACCAGTAAAATACAGGTGAATATGAAAAGCAAAAAAACTTTCATGCTGAAAGATTTGACTGGGGCAGTTTGTCATCAAATTGAAGTTCATGGAAGTACCTACTACCAAACATGCGTGCATGATCACTACAGAAGATAAGATAGAAGAAAACAGCAAATCAGAGTCGAAGGCTATACATAGATTTGTGTCTGGATTTTTGAGAAAGTACAGAAAGGTGAAAATTTTGTTCCATGCTATATTTTCAGTTTTTTCTTGGGTAAGTAAACCAAGATGAAAATAAAAAGAAAAACTTGCAAAAAGTTGAAGAAAAAGGAAACACCAACCAGGAATATGTGCAGATGGTTCAAATAGCATAGACGTCTTTCTTTGCCAAGGCCATTGACATTTTTCGTTCCCATTTCTCGGGAACCAAACGAGAGCAGAGAGGCCAGAAACAGGAGCTTGAGAATGGTGTAGCAAATTAAAGAGAAAATAGGCGGAGAAGTGTTCAGAGATGTCTGAAGCTGAGCATTGAATTGCATAGAGAGTTAGACTTGAAAAACTGAATCCACGCAAGAGTGTGGGAAGGAAGATTGATTCATTGAAGTCAGCCTTTATGAGTCCACGGAATAGGAAATGGGTGGCTCCGTTATGATAACATCAGTGTCAATGTCCATGTGAATGTGGGACCCTACGAAAATTCACCTTCTCCAAAACAATGCAACATCATAATTAATATGCTTGTGAATTTTTTTTAAAAAAAATTTAAAATTCATGCTGCCAACATTTAATAATTGACTTGAGCAATCTAATTAGCAAAAAAAATCCTGTGTTTTGTAAGGGAGATAGAGGAATACAGAACGGGTGAAAATATATAAAATTTAATTTATTTCCTCTTTAGATTAATTATTTTTTCAGTACCTCTCCCAAACTGAACGTGCTCAATGCACACATAGGTTTTGTTTTGTTTTGTTTTTTTTTGTCACATGCATGTAGCAATTACTATATATATATATATATATATTGATAAACTAAAGTAAGATTGTTTTTATTTTCCTCTTTGATTTGACTTGACTTGACTAGAAATATATAATTTTTTATTTTTAAATATACATACTTTTTTTATAAAATACAACGAAAGAAAAATAATAATAAAATATTTTTGAATTATGTAAATAATAAATTGATCTTTTAAAATGTCATAATATCAATGAAATTTCTAGGGACCGTTTTGTCAATAATTTTTTATAGAAAAAAGACTAGTTTACTCTCACTGAAAATAACAAGACTCAATCATAACTTTTGTTTAATGAATCACAACTTTTGTTTTATAAATCGTAAGAATTGAATAAGAAATCACAATTTATCAAGTATAGTTTCTGTTATTAATAAATAAATTTTTAAATTAACAAACTTTATTTACAACTTTTATTTAAAAAATTGCAAGAATTGAACACGAAATTACAATTTATCAATAAGAGTAAAATAATCTTTTTTAAAAATAATTTATTGACAAAAAAGTCTCTAGAGACTTCATTAATATTATGATATTTTGAGATATCAATTATTATTTATATAATTTGAGGAGATTTCATTATCACTTTCCCTACAAAGAATTTTTTACCAGCAATAAAATACGAAGATATTGATATGCTGTTAATTTTGAATGTTTTTACTAAAATATACTCTGCGATTTCCAATACATATATGCATTGAATTACTGAAAACCAAACCAATTGAATTCTTTTTCATCATCTTTAAAAAATTTCCATCTTTTTATTTGGTCAAATTGGAAAATTTTGATACGCATTTTATATTCAATTCAAATAAAAATAATATTCCGATTCCAAAGGAATATATTTCAAATTTGAAAATATATAATTTTAACAATATTTATGAGAAATTTATATAATTTGTATGAATTAATTGCAGAGAAATTTACCCCAAGACCCGTCTCTCTTTGTGCGCGCACGCATTTTAATTATTGAATATTAAGCCCTCAATGATTGGTGTTGGATACTTTAAATGTGGAAAATGAATTTACTTTCAAAAGTTTCATGGGAATTTGAGTTGCTACATTTCTTTATTACTTGAGAGGCAAAATGACTCGATCAAGGCCGTGGCTGGGAAGAGCTCAGAGTCTGTCCCATAAATTCTATCATGAAAAAATAAAAAAATAAATATTATAAATTAATTAAAATATTTTTAAATAAAAATAAAAAATTTTATAATTTTTAAAATTAAACAAAAAATATTTAAAAGTCTAGTAAGAAAGTTTAAATCTTGATTAAAAAAAATAGTTCATTTTGTACAAATACATAAACATAATAATTATACAAAATAAAAAATATTAAAAATGTTATAATGTATATTGGTATTTATTAAATTATATTAAATTAATTTTACAATAAATTAACATTAATAATATAACAATGTAGGATCAGAGTTTCAGGCGAGCAGGTTTTTCTTGACCTTAAATGTGTGTTCTGCCAAAGAAAATAATAATAATGATGATATAATAGGGTTTGAAAGGTCGCTCGAGCCTAAATCTTTTTTTTTTTTTACAGGGCTTATCAAGGTCAGGCTCTCAAATTCAGTTACTTTAAAAAATTTAATTTTAAAGTCCGAACCCATATTTAAACAGAATCTTTAAACCCAACCTTTTAGGCTTGAGTTTTATTTTTAACTCTAACTGTGGCCATATAGATTAAGCCAGATAAGTAACAAAGTCCATATATATATATATATATATACACATACATACATAGGAAGATCTTGTATATACAAGAAGATCCATCTCCATTATTTAATATGATGGATGAACTATTATAAAAGTGAAACATTAAAACAAAGAAAAGTACAAAATAGAGAAAGAAACTCCTCGACAATAATGCAAAGAAGATGTGTTTAAAGGTTGCTTTTTGAAAATATCATTGGCTTTAATGAAAAGAAGCAATGCTCCACTGATTAATTATGCGGTCTCGAATCTGATTGGCATTAAAAAAAAAAAACAAAGAAAGAAAGAAAGAAAGATACAGCCAGCCATCAGCCATTGGACACGCCTTCGTGCTCATCCTTTGTGCGTTCTGTGCAAATGATGGATACCTTGCATGGTTCCCATCCGTACTCTCTCGCTCTCTCGGCACCTTCCTTTTATTTGCCCACCCTATTTTCCCCAATCTGTACAATTTACAAATTGACTTTTATTTTATTTTTCAATTTAATCTTATGCCTTCCTTATTTTCCCTGTCCCTCCATCAGATATATATGATAATTTTCTGATTTAATTCCTCCTAAAATTATTATTTCGTTTTATCTTTTACAAATTAATACATGTTCTCAATAACATTAATATAGTAATCTATTACCAATGAGGAGTAGCTACTAGGACGAAATAACGAACCATGTCAGGTTGTTTGATAGAAATGTAGAATCATATATGTTAATATATAGGTTGATGAAGTTGTGACCAAGTACGAAAAGGGAATACTGGAAGTGCTGAGTATTATTGGTGATCATAGTAATGCAATCATATACGCCTTTCATTTCTATATATAAGAAAAAAAAGTAGTATTATACAGTTTACAAAAATCAATTAATTATAATAATTATATCTAAACATAAAAAAAATTGGACTCATACATCATGTGTTAATTAACATAAGTATGCATTAATTATTTTTTATTAATGTAAATTATGAGAGGTAATTTAAGAAATTCCTAATAAATGTTTATTGAGATATGTGATTTTGTTTATAAAAAAAAATTAAAAGTAACAATTTCTTTGATAAATAAAAACGGAGGAAGTATTTATATATTGTGCAAGTAAGTAATACCCATACAACTTCAATAAAAAATTTTATTAATGCCTAATCTAACTAATCTAACAGAATATTAAGTGTCTGACACAAGTGGTTCTCTCTTTTGGTATTAAGTATATCCTCCATCCAATCATTATTATAAGTCACATCTAATCAACTCAACTCATGGAAATTAAGAAGTGGTTCAATTATTAGCTTTAATTACCTAAAAAACATTTTTAATTTTACCTGTAATTAAATGAATTTTTTTAAATTTGCATTATATTTTTCTCATAATTAAGGACTTTAAATAAAGATAATATTAAAAATATTTAATTAATACTGTATTAAGTTAATTAAAATGAAGATCATCTATCTTTTCTAGAAGATGTTTTATAATAAACTTCAAAGAAAGTATATTGGAATTGATTGACTTGATGAGCATCAAGTAAAAGAAAGAAAGAAAAGAACGACAGAGTTAGGTTTAATAAAAAAGATTAGTATTTTATAATGTGATAAATTAAGGTATGAATTTTGACTAAAAAAAGCATTCATTTTTTAATGGAAAAATATCTATGAGCAACCTCCTCTGGTCAACACGCAGAAAGTGGCGGGCGGGGGAGTGGGCGTTCAAGGCCCATGTTAAATGCTCCTCTCCGCAAAAATCACCTGCCTTGATTACGACGGAGTTGAAAAAACCAGTTCTTCCATCATTTGTTGTCATAGTGTAAAGGTTTCCTCTCAAAATGAAGAGCATTTGATCCAATGTAGCTCTTTCCTGTATAAAGTACTGGCTTTAGCCTATCACAAAGTGCGTCCAACAGTTGCTCATCCATTTTCTCGAACACTGGCACCTGAAGCAAATCATAATAAGCATGTTTAGGTGTCAGGAAAAATAATTGGACACACAAGAATTCTGAGGTAAACCTTTTCTAATTGAACCAAGAAGAATGTAAGCTAGTTAAACATACTTACGGAGGGATAGTTAAAGTCGGTACCCAATTTTAGAAGTAAACACAAGCAAAGGTGGCACTTCTCTTCTGAGATCTCGAGAAATTTTTTTTATTTAATGTTTCCTCATCCATGCCCTCATGTTGTTGCCATTTGTAATGTTCATATCGTCTGATTCTTTCCCTCAAGTCCTCTGGTAGCATGCGGCAAAAATGCTGGGTCATAATCACCGGTTAATGCTTCGGTTATACACACATTAAAAAATATACACGTCCATTAATCCGAAAACGTTTAGCATTCATTAATCCGGAGACATTTGTAAGCTAAATAATTATTTATTTAATTATTTTTGGAAAAGTAATTTGGTAAGAGGAACCTAGTGCCTCTTGAACTTGCACGCAAGGGGGAGTGAATCGGCTAATTTCAACTGCAGTTGCCTTGTGTTGACCTATCTTATGTACACAAGGTCACTTTTTCTCCAAGTCCATTTTACTAGCCCACTTCATTCCTTAGTATATATACACTAGGAGAGTCTTTCTTTTAGTCAATGTGAGACTTTGACACACGCACATTTTTGACACACATACAACACTAATAGCTGAAGGTTGCATGGACTATAGATATCTCTGTAATACAGTATTCAGCACAATTCAAGACTTTATTCAATCATGGGAGATTTAACATTCATTACCATATTTATCACTCCCATATGGATAAGTTTCGGAAATGCAATAAAAAAAAAAAATAAGCGGATGAGATGCATCCATACATTTTATTATTGCGAGACAACACCATCGAATTCTGATTTTACTGCTAAACGCTCCAAGTCAATCCATTTTAGTTGGATATGA